GAAAAGCAGAGTAGGGCAGAGGCAGAGAGAAGAGAAAAGATTAGAAGAGAGAAGAGTAGAAGAGAAAGAGTCAGAAGAAAGAAGATGCAGATGCGCGAAAAGGTAGGAAAGTCGCGAAACACTGTGTTTTTCCAATGATTTGTGGCTCCGGAGGGTCGAAAAGTAGGCTCGCTAAAGCGGCGGGTGCGGAGCCAGCTGGCCAGATGAGAGATGAAAATTTGCACGCCGTTGTGGCGCGAAGCACATTTTGAAGTCAAAATGTACAAAACACACCATTCTCGGACCACTTTTGGAAGTTGAGATGTCGAAAAAGTGCACGCCGTTGTGGCGCGAAGCACATTTCCAAGTCAAAATGTACAAAACACACCATTTTCGGACCACTTTTGGAAGTTGAGATGTCGAAAAAGTGCACGCCGTTGTGGCGCGAAGCACATTTCCAAGTCAAAATGTACAAAACACACCATTCTCGGACCACTTTTGGAAGTTGAGATGTCGAAAAAGTGCACGCCGTTGTGGCGCGAAGCACATTTCCAAGTCAAAATGTACAAAACACACCAGCTTCGGACCACTTTTGGAAGTTGAGATGTCGAAAAAGTGCACGCCGTTGTGGCGCGAAGCACATTTCCAAGTCAAAAGTGTTAAAAACTGACGGTCTCGGACCACTTTTGGAGGTTCAGATGTCGAAAAAGTGTCGAAAAAGTGCACGCCGTTGTGGCGCGAAGCACATTTCGAAGTCAAAAGTGTAAAAAACTGAGTGTTTTGAGCCTTTTTTGACGTGCTGATGTCGAAAAAGTAGACACTGATTAACTTAACTAACTTGACTAACTTAAGTAACTTCACTAACACGAATACCCTAACTTCGACGACAACAGCAACAACAACAACACTACTACTACTACTACTACTACAACTACAACTAGAACTACAACTACAACTACAACTACAATAGATCGATAGATGGAGAGAGAGATAGATAGAGAGATCGATAGATAGATCGATAGATAGGTAGGTAGGTAGATAGATAGATAGATAGAGAGAGAGAGATAGATAGAGAGAGAGATAGATAGATAGATAGATAGATAGATAAGATAGATAGATAGATAGATAGGTAGCTAGATAGGTAATTAGATGAAAAAGAGAGAGAGAGATAGAGAGATCGATAGATAGATAGATAGATAGAAGATAGATAGGTAGGTAGGTAGGTAGGTAAGTAGGTAGGTAGGTAGATAGGCAGAGAAAGAGAGAGAAAGAGTGAGAGAGATCAAGCACCTTTCAATCCATCAGTGGATTCGCTTTGCCATCCCTGATTCACAACAACCAACCTCTCCTATAGGTTTCCTATTTTTGAAACTTCCGCCACCGCCTTGTGCGGTACTACTGGTATATGTGTATAATGTATATGATGTATTATACTGGTAGCTGGAGGTTCATCCCTCACAGAAAACCTAAGCTCGACCCCCCCTCCCCGGTGGCACCAGTTCAGATCCCAGAACCTCACGACCACCTCGAACAGCTGGCTGAGAAGGGAATGTTCATCCCAACTAAACCAAGTACTGTCGTACTACCCTCTAGTTATGTCAAAATAGCTATTGAAAATGGCCATAGAAATAGTGGATTTACCCATTAAAAATGGTGATTTTCCATAGTTATGTTAATTTACCAGAGGGTACTATACTATAGCCCAACAACCGACAATCAGCTCAAATGATGTATCATGTATCTATGTATATGTATTATATATATATAACATAGCTCATATCACGCATGTTTAGTGCTAAGATCCCCTGTCCAAAAACACTGGGCAGAACAGCTGCCAGGTCAGCCGGCAAATCCAGCCTTGCAGACAAGATCAGCGGTGGCCTTGGTTGGGGCCGCCATGGGGACGGACGTGTTCCAAGGTTCCAACGATGTTTTTTTTGGAATATCAATTGCACTAAAATATTTTGATATACTAATTTATTCAATCAATATCAAGAATCTAATGTACGTGTCCCACATCACGAGCCTTTTTAGCTGGACTGAAAACAGCATTCGCTCGATCAGACAGATGCTACTAGTCATGTGCAAATTTGAGGCTCCAATTTTGAAGGGCTCATAACAAATTGGAACCAACCTCAAATTTTGGTGATTTCACTGTATAGTTGAATGCCCATCCATTTTCAACAGACCATCATTTTCTGAGCCGTGGTTTCAACGGACTTGAAGATGACCAGCGTGGATCATTTGGCATGAATATTATAATATAGTATATATTATATAATATAACAATTTCAAGGTATATAGCCAATGGATCCATGCAGATTCTGCAAAATGCAAAATTCCATGGATCCCTTGGGTCGGTTCCCCGGTGTTAATTTCCAGGTCCGCAGCGTTTGGAGCAGCTGTGGGTGAACGCGAAAGCTCGTTTCCTGGCGCCCTGGATCTTTGGGCTCTCAGAGAATGACCAGGTGAGCGTCTGGCCGGGTGGAAGTCACCACTTACGAAACGTAAAGACAACGCAGAAGTGAAGGTATGATTGAAATGGATTGACAACTAAATTATCTAAGTCAGTGATTGACTTCTGATTGATCTTATTTGATCTTTAGTTTTAATATCTAAGTTTCAAAGTCTTTTCAGCCCTGGTTTCGACAAAAATTGAGATTTGGGGCTTGGACCAGAAGGGATGCCAGAAATCTCCGGACTCATTTTGTCCATGGGGCACTGCAAATTTGGGTTCCAGCTGCATGCAAAAACAACAAGAAAAATCGACATTTGAGGTCTGCAACCAGTGCCGACCAGTGCAACCCAGGTAGCTCAAGGTGGTTTTCCGTGACTGCAGAACATACAGAGAAGCTTACGAATCTCAGCCGATAGCACAATAAAAAGCACTGCTGGGATGCATGGAAAGTGAGGCGTGGGGCTGAGTGATATGGATTTGTCAGGGGTTGAGAACTATATGGCTATGGGTCAATACCTATAGATACATTTTTAGGGGGATGAACATCCATTTACCAGCTATTTTGATGTTCACCAGGGGGGTACAAGGTTTTGACACACTGCCATATAACTAATATGGGCTGACATGGATTGACCAATTTCTATCGTGCTTCAATATGGCTTCATCGCCCAAATTTCCGATGAACGCTTAAGTGAGATGTTGGAGTCGGAGCTGTAGGGGTGTCATCTTTATGACATAAACAAGCACAGATGGCCAACCCAAGCAGTACACATACCCTCTGGTAAACTAACATAGCTATTGAAAATGGCCATAGAAATAGTGGATTTACCCATTAAAAATGATGATTTTCCATAGTTATGTTAGTTTACCAGAGGGTAAGTTCCAGAAGGGTTGGGCCACTGATCTTTCGTGGATGGGACATTTCTTGAAAAATCTCATCATCCAGCATGAGAAACTATGGTTTTTGAACGCACCGGATGTTGAGCATTGTTGAGCCATAAATCATCATAGTGGTTTATAATTGTTTGTAATCCATTGGCTAGATCAATGGTTGATATCAACCAAAGTCCATTATATCATGCGTTTGTGATGGACTTCGATGGGTGCTGCAAAAACTGTAAAAGTCGCTCAGTACTGTCTAACGTCCGGCAATATCGCTGAACACCGCTGACTGTAGCACGCACATAGACATTCTTGTTCAGGAATGGGCAAGATTTTGAATCTGAAGCATGACCGGGCGAGATTTAGACCCTTCTGGTTGCTGCACATGGAACCCCAAGGGTTGATTGATATCCACTGGGCCTTCACGTTTGACACAAACACCGAACTGGGAGAGGCATCACCACTAGCTGTGATGAATTCCATTTCAAGTCCCGTTGTTGTCAAAGAACATGTTTGACTGTTTGACATATGTGTTACTGTGGGAAACCCAATAACAAGCCTACTATTTGGGAATGGATTGTAGCACCCATCTATGCTGATTCTGGGGGTGCTTTATTGGGTTTACCACATTCATTTGAAAAGATATGTGAAGTTTTTCTTGGTGACGTGAACACCTTCTTAAATTTGAACATCGTTTGGCAGCACGAAATCATTGACTCACCCCCGGCCCGGTTTGAGGCGCCTCTCCCTGTGGCATCTTTGAAGCTGGGAATCGCAGCAAAAACAGGGACTTTGTTTGATCTTGGGATATCTTGGGGTTGGGGAAGCCTAAATCCCATAGCCAAAATGAGATCCGTAACCAACACTGGGGATTTCACCAGCAAAAATGGGTGGATCATCCCCCTAAGAAAGCCATGGTTTAGCATTGGATCTGTTCATAATCAATTTTCCATGTAGGGGTATTTAAATGTATTTCATATAGGGGGTGAAGGGATTAGGTTAGTTTGGAATAACATGTCCAATTAACTTGACATTGCCACAAATTGGGGTGACATCCACCATATTGAGACAACTCTACATGCCTTCGTCCAAAGATGAATAAACAATATTTGTATGGTCTAGTTGCCTACTGTAAGGGCAAAACCAATGGCTGAGGCATACATATAGAATACACGTACATTCGTATATCATAATTTGCAACATGTATATTAATATAGTCAGTATACTTACACGATATCTATACATACCCGCATCCATCATTGATGGTTGGGTAATGTTGGTTAGCTGTTTTATACTTGGCCCGATTTCAAGTGTGATCTCCCTGTGAGATGATTTGCCAACGGACTTTGATTTTCCTCAGGGGTGTTCAAGTTTGATCAGCATTGTCCCCATAAGGATCCATGAGGTAATTCTGTTTTGTGTGCAGAAAGCGGTTGTGGCACGAAATTGGGAAACTTCATTCCTGCACTAAAGTAAATCATCCACAAATGATGCTGCTTCAGATGGGTTTTTGATATCTCAGCCTGCTGACATTCATCAGATTTCATCAGGCAAAATGATGCTTCCTGGTTCGTGGATGGTGGTGCCCAAGAAACGACGACTTTTCAGGATGGTTGAAACCATGTGTTGATGCCACGTATGTGTGATTCTTGGGCTTCAACAGTGATGGGATGCCTAGGCCATGGTCACTAGCCACACCAATCTGCCTAGGCCACCGCTGAATCCCCATGATGCCAAGACGGTGGCCAAGCAATTGTGCTACCGCATTCCTGAGTCCAAGGATGGGAGCGGATGGGCGGATGTGGTTTCTCTTTTGAAAGACACCCGAGCAATCACCTGACATCAATTTCTGGAGTGAAATAAACATATTGATGTTTTGTTTTCTTTTGAGGGAAACGATTCTGATATTGATATTGATGTTTGAAATCATCAATTGATATTTCCCATAGGATCCATGGTGCTGCCATATATGGTAACATGGATCCCATCAATATACCCCCTTTATGTTAGCATTTTCTACCAGCACCATGGATCCTATGGGTATTTGATATTGATGTCTCTTGAGGGATTCAACGGCATGGGCGACCAGGTGGACTCAACGGACGCCAACTGTAAAGGTCAAAACTGAAGACCCGCGAGCACTGCTTGTTTAATAGACTTAATTAGTATATATATATATATATATATATTATAGTATATAATAGTATATAATAGTATATATTTAATTATCTTAGGGTCACTAGTCTGGCTGCTTCAATAGGCTGCCTCATTTGAAGCAGTCCCTAACAAAAGAGCAGCCTAGGTAGTGATCAAATGATATTAGTATTTAATTAGGTGTGTCTGAAAATGTGTTAATGTGTTATACCCAAGTTTGATGGTTTATGATCATTTTCCTCATCACAATTATGCAAATTTGGGCAGAATTACTATTAACATCATTTTCAGACCCATCCATTTGTTAAGCATGACAAGTGTATTTGTGTTGGTGGTCTTATATAACTTCGTCCGGTACTCAATGCCCAGATCTGGTTGGTGCTTTCAAACATGTGTCTTTCCGCCGTTGAAGGTCAATGATCCGAGTGGGAAAGGAGCGTAGAACGGCTTTGATCAACAGATACGCCTCAGCCAACGCCACCAAAAAACAGACAACTTAGGAGCTGTAAGTATATAGAAGGCCTTTAGTACATATGGAATTGCAAAGTCCTTAAATCTGTGCCTCTGGATGCTTTTCACGATTGTTGAAGTACAGATTCAGAATTGAAGAGGCCGAGAACAGGTGAGAACACGCTTTCAATTTAAGGGGCCGCGGGCAATTGCGGCTTGGCGCCATGCAAGGCAACAATGCGAATCAGCGGATGGGCCAGATGCCTGGGATGATGCCAATGGGCATGGGTATGCCAATGATGGGCATGCCGATGATGGGAGTGCCCATGATGAATCCCATGATGGGAATACCCATGATGAATCCCATGATGGGCATGGGCAGCAATGCCCCAAACATGGGCAATGCAGGTCCAGCCGGTCCCGTGGGTCCCATGGGTCCCGTGGGTCCTGTGGGTTCCGTCGCCGGTCCAGCCATGGGAGCCAGTTTGGCGCAGCCGAGTGCCAAGAGTCCTCCGATTCTTGGTACTACCGGCGGCTTGATGCCCAAGATCGATCCTCCGGGTCTCGCCCACGGCAGCCTCGAACCGGGCCGGGTCCCTATGGTGCCCGCGGTGCCCGTGGTGTCCAGCGGCCTGCAGAGGGAAAGGAGTCGCAGCCGAGACGCTGAGAGGTCACAGGCGGAGGTGCCCGTGGTGGAGGAGAAGGAGGAGCCTGCAGAGAAGGAGCCTCCCAGATGTCATCTTCACAATACCAAGAAGCCCAATGCCAAGTGCAAGTTCTGTCAGAAGTGGATCGCAAGCCAGTCCCAATCTCAACCTGACAAGGTCGAGAAAGAAGATGGGAAAGATGAGAAAGCCAAAGTCCAAGCACCAGAAATACATGAAGAAGAGGACTATTCACGCCGAACTTTCAAGTGCAGTACTTTGCTGAAGGATCAGATCTTTGGCTCCAGCTACTTCAAGAGCTTGTTGGAAGTCAGTGATCTCCAACCCCTCACGGATGAAATTGCCAAGTACGCTGACACACTTGATGTCTACAACTCCGGCAACAATGTCCATCCATCATGCTTTATTTGTCAGGTGGGGAATGGAGATGGAGTGGCTGAGATGAATGAATCAACACTATCAACCAGCAACAAGACTAATATTTTTCAAGGGCAAGCCATTTGGATTATTTAAGTTTGTTTCGGATGATAGGTTATTTTTCAAATACATAAACTGGGATAAACTGGGTGCCAAAAACTGTGATAGCTTATGCACGGTTATGCTATCGCTACTACTGTTCGCCATCGAGAAACTTGACCTTAAAGCTTGTCATCACCAGAAGGCCTTCAATGCTGAAGTTTGTAACATCATGTAACACTGAATTGGATGAGAGCAATGCGGGTAGCAAACCAAGGGAAAGTCATCTATGGCAATGTTCATGGTGGTTTAGCCAAATTACATGGGGATTCAACCAACTAACTGCCCATAGACCCTCCAAGTACCCACACAAAAATGCCAAAGGCATTAAATTATGGGGTAAGATACCAGATGATATCAGTATTTATTTGTACTTGGAGGGTCTAGGCATTTATATACATGGTAGCATACATTGATTATGTATATATAATTATACATATATATATATATACTTTTATATACCTTTATTATACTTATATATGTATATATATATATTATAATGTGTAATTATTTGTATATGCTTACATGTATAGACTGCATATTCCTGTCTTCCACTTTTCCTGCCCTGTTTTTGGGCCCAGGTGTACCGGCTCTTCACCCTGCCACAGTCAGAGGACTTAGATGACCTGCTGCAGATCTTAGATGCCTCGGCCTCGGCCAAGGTCCGCTGCGCCGGGGTGTTGTACGTGCGTTTCGTGGTGCCACCACATAAACTCTGGGAGAAGCTCGAGGAAAATTTGTTTGATGAACAGGAGCTGAAATACCTGGATGGAGATAAACAGGTGACCACGACCATTCAGGAGTATGTGGAAAACCTGCTGATCAAAGACAAGTACTACAACACACCACTGCCGAGAATACCTGTGAAGGTGAGGCAACAGCTTGAAAAGGAGCTTGCCCCACTTGCGCAGTTTCGCAAGCGCATGGCTGCGATGCAGAAAGCCTTGCCCAAAAAGGTGTCTGGTACTGCGGTGGAAGTTTATGTCGATGGAACTTGGCTTCGTGGGCACATCAAGCATTATCTCGGCAACCACAAGAGAAAGGTCGGTGTGTTGCTTGAGAATGGCTCAATGGTGAACTCTCACCTTGGGAAAGTGGTGCTCAGAGATGAAGATGAAGCCAAAGGTGAGACAGAGGATGAAAAGAAGGAAGATGAACATCCTGAAAAGGTCGACAAGGGCTCGGAAAAGAAGGAGAAAAAAGAAAAAAAAAAAAACAAGAAGGAGAGTCGCGATGATCGTTCCAGTCGAAGTCGCAGCCGGCATCGCAGTCGCAGTCGAACGAGTCGACGGCGTTCACCAGACTGGGCCAGATACAAGGGCCCAATCCTGGATGCCAGTGAACTCGAAAGATTGCGCGAGAAAGCTCGAGAGGATGCCGTGGTTGGTGTGGGCAAGGTCTATTCCAAGCGTCCCACCACGGTTGAGGGCGAACTATGGCGCGGTAGTGGAGACGCACGTGTTAGCATGCTGGGACCACAACATGTGGGCGGGAACACCTCTCGGTCCAGCACCAAGCATGGTGTGTCGGATCCAGAGGTCAGTCGGACCCGCTCACGAGAAGAGGAGGAGGAGCACAAGCGAAGGATGCGGGAGATCTATGAGAAACTTGGAGTTGAAGTTGTTGTTTTGAACATATTTTGTTGTTTGTTTTTCCAATTTGGCAATCCATCATTTGAAGATGTCCAAAGTGAATGTTTGATTTTCCCACAAAACTATTATTATATACTTGCTGGTGGAATTCTGATCTACTTGGAAACATATGTCCGTATAGTAAACATTCAATGATCTGAACGCATTGTCTTTTTTGGAGCGGCCCTTCAGTCAATCAATGGCCGCTGGTGGCAGTGGATTGGGTTGGTGGTTCACAACCCCTAGAACACCAGGCCAACTCAAGGTGCCAAGTTAACTGTTCGTCGCTTAATGACAACATATTTGTTAATGTTAGCCAATCAATGGGGATAGAACCAACTAGAAATAACATTTATATATACTATATAACTAAAACCAGAAAATCATTTACACAAACGCTTATGAACCCATAAATTTCTCATGGTTTCTCCACATCAACAAGGGAACCCGCAACATGCAGTGGAAAAACACACGGCAGCTGAGGAAATATGGCTCCGTGTCCCGTGCGACCTCCGGTTCTGGCTCGCAGAGGTCGGAGATCGACCAGCCAGACGTGCTGCGCTTGGGATGAGCGAGGCCCAGAGGTGGCGGTGAACCGCCGCTGCCGTTGTGTAAAATGGTGCTCGGAACCAGGAGGTCATGGGATTTGGCATGGGAACAGGTTTGTTTGAAAATGCTGGAAGAAATCAAATGGTTTTGGATGGTTTGGGGATCATCATTTTGGAGATGAAGCTGGCCAAGTATTGGGCTATCCTCCATGATGTTTGTGGCGGTTTTCAGCAAGTCATTCTGGGGAACAGCTTTTTGGAACGGATGTTGCAGAGGTTTTGGACATGTGGCAAACCAAGTTTTTGCAGATTTCAGAGGTGACACATCAGCTTTAGATAATATCTGAAAATAAGCCTGATTTTTGCCGATGTGATGAACTTGAAACTCCAGTGGTTGTCGTCCAAGACAAGAGAAGATTTTAGTTGTTCTTTCTTCAGATGTCTTTTGGTGTACTTTTGTTCAAAATCATCACCTCCATTGTGTCAATCTGGGTCAATGTCCCGTCGGCAGTTCTGATTCTATACCATCCCAGGGGGGCCACATGGGGCCACAAAACCATCCCGGGGGGATCCCAGCGACCAAGGACTCTTTGTACTTCATTTTGCGCGGCTTGGGTCTTCCGTTAACTGGTGAGTCCGGGCAGCCAGGGACATGGGGTGGGGGGTGGCACACCTGACACTTTGAGACCACCTTCCAAAATAAGCAAGAAATGATTGATTTCAACATAGATTGAAGTTATTCATTCAATAGATTCCGATTCTACCACAATCTATCAGGGTTTCATGCTAGTTTTAGAATGTCTTGGAGATTGCGCTTCGATCTTTGATTCGGGTTGCAGGCCGATTGAGAAGAAGGTCCGGTCTGTGACTTTCATCATAGAGAGCCTTCAAAATGGTCATGTATTTTTTCTTCAAACCACTTTGAACCCATTTTCTTCCATGTGTTAGATGTGTTTTTCTCCGTGTCTAAGCAGATTTCAGAACCATTAATTATCTTGCAGCTATTAAGGCTCCAAAGCTAGGTCGAAAGGTCTCCGTCTTTCCGACACTGTCTGGCACAGGGTTTGAGATGGTTTGAGAACATCCGCCAACATCACCCTTTTCTTTAGAGCTATTCAATGTAGAGTACAGAGCCTTATTCAGTGTTTTCCAACGATGGCTAGTTTCAGTACTCTAAATCTCCAGCAGATGGGGACCCCATATTGTTCCATGTGCAGCGATGGAGAGACGCATGAGGAAGGTGGGGATTTATCATAAAGGTGACCAAAGGGTTAGGGTTTAACCTGCAAATAGCTTGGTTTAAACACGTCTATTGATGACCTGGTCGTTACTGCTGCCATTTTTATGGAGGAATACACTGCTCGCCTATTTTGGCGAAATAGTATCATATATATATAAGATTATCCATGTATCGCTCATCAACCTAAGATGACATCCTCTGCTGTATCAAGGGTAAGGTAACAGAACTAGCACACAGCGCTTTTAGCCGGTGGTGTCAACCGGAGTTTCTAGTGATTGAATTCTTCCAGGAATCCTGGTATAGGAAGTGGATCAGGTTAAATGAGCAACTGGCAAACCCAGTCGCCAGCCAAAAGTGCTTCGTTTGCAGAAACATTGTTTTACAGACACACACACACACCCTTCATATTCATAAAAGCCGACAACCATCATATTTGATGCAGCCAAATTATGAGGATCTTGATACCAACGCTGGACCCACAGGTTCTCCATTGGCTGATCTCGATGGTCGCTGCAGCGTTGCTGTACCACGGAGCCCTGGCTAGATATACAGTTGCAAAAAAGTGTCGAGCAGATTGAGAAAAACCTGCTGACATGTTACCCAAATTCACTGCGTGGAAGACTCAACCAGGATGTCGGTCAGCTTTGGCCAATTTTGTGGATCATTTCTGGGTCCAGGGAGGCCAGGGAAGAATCTGCCAAACTGGCCTGCTATCATTTCTGTAGGAATCCTTGTCTGATGTGACATAGTGGACTCTCCAGTTTCAAAGTTCACCCCTTTCCATACATTCGGGTCACGCCAGTTATACATATAGCTACTATACCCGCAACTACTTGCGGTCTGGAATAGGTAGACCTCCAGGGTTCGGGGGCCCAGATCTCTGATGGTTCACAAAAAACACTGTAGACCTTCGAGACCTTGTCCCTCAGAACTATGATGTATAAGGGTCGGGTCGGTTTTTCATTTTAGACCTTTACCATTATGCCTTAGGGAACTTCATGCTAGACCCCTGACATGGGGAACCTGATGCAACCTTGTATGAATGGGAAATAATAGGGGATCGACTAAAAACCTATGTAAGAGTTTCAGTATCCAAGTGGCAGCTGATGATATGCACATGTATTTCTGCAGTCGCGAAAGTGCGGCGGGCGACAGGTTGGCGAGATGTTTATTTTCCGCTTGGAGCGAAAAAAATAGGCAAACGCATTCACATGCTAACAAATCCATCCAAACCGCAAAGAAGGTCACGGGCCAAAAATTTCGCATTTTGGCACGAGCACACAAGAGAAGAAAAAGTGAACATGTTCAAGAGCTTACCTCCATCCTAGACCTAGGACCTAGGTTTTTTGGGTCTACAGGTCCGTTTGTACTGTAGTAAATGAGGGTATGTTATACTAATATGCCGCTATATACGTCATCTTTTTGGGGCTGCTTCCCTTTGATGTCTTGATATATCTTGTTTTGTTCCCATGTTTTTCCCAATGTTCCATCCTTTTCAGCTATTAGTTCCACACATCTTGGAAGCGTCCCCAGGACCTTGGAGCTTTGCCCACCATCCACCAGCTCCGCGGAGCCGCGGCTCTCGCCTTCGGCGCGGAGCCGAAGACGTCTACGGCGGCTGCTGCGCCTACGTCATCAACTTGGCGCGGCGAAGTGATCGGCTGGAACGAGTGCAGAAGCTCTTGGCATCCACCAATCCGGAACTGTTGAAGCACCTGGAAAGGACGGGTGTGAAGGTTTTATGATGTTTCAAGATGTCCCTTGATGTCCCGGGTTTTCAATCATTGTAAAATATAAATTTGATATAACATAATTATTTATACGTAAATAAAGGACGCTTGGAGATGATCCCTCCATGCAATAGTTGGGGAGGCATGCTTTTTGGGGGACGTGTCACCAGCCTCTGTAGGATTGATGCCGTGGATGGTCAAAACATTTCATTAGATTCACTGGAGGCGAGAGAAGTAGTGGAAAGTTCAGCTTTGGCCCGCGCCAAGCGTGCCAAACGACTGGGATTATACAGCATTGTTCACGACGAGGAAAATCAGCTGGTGAATTTTGATGATCACTTTACTGAAGGGGCCGTTGCTTGTGCTATGTCTCACCACAAGGCCTTAACCAAGGTGCCGCAATGCTCAAAATTTCTGGTGGTTCGTCATCTATCATACTCACATATATATATGATATTAGTCTATTTCATAATAAGTATATAGATACAAGTGTTTGTGTTTTTTCCTGAAGACTTTCCTTCAAAATCTGAGTTTTTCAGATCTTCCACGCCACATAAACAGGCCCCGAAACCGCGTTTACCCCTCAGGTGGCCCAACATCCATCAGCCCAGTGGGGTCTCATCTTGGAAGATGATGTGTCCTTGGTGGTGCCAGAGGTGCACCGTGAGCTCCGTACGATCCTGGACCAGCTGCCGGAGAGCTGGACTGCGGCAGCTGGACTCCTTGAGGGTTTTTTTAGTGGAAAAAGCAAGGAAAATCCAGAGGAAATTCTGGAAATGCGTTTTGTAGCCATAGTTTTTACTATCCTAAGATGGATTTGCCGTGAGTTGTGCCTCAAACTGCTAAAACCGATTCTAGGAAACTCTGGAAATACACATCGGGCGGTTTTTTTTTCTTGGTGGAATCATCGGTGATTTCCCCAGTATCATTGGGAATCATCAACACATCTAGGGTGGTAAATCTGAGTGCAAGTTTTCTATCGTTGGCAAAGGAGTTCCCGACATGATTTTTTTTTGCACCTGCGGACAATGCAAAGTTGCCTGATGTTGTCTTTGCCTTTGCGATCTTGTGAATGTCCCAGAATGGTTTCGGGAAATTTGCTCGCTTGATGCCCCACGATCTTTTCGCGGTCTTTCCACAAATGTTGGTGATTTTGGAGGGAATGTGGTGGTTGATGGCCCACCATGGTTGATGTCCGAGGTATTTCTGGGCTATCACAACGAATATGGTCGCCCTCACCCTCGCGCTGTCAACTGCACAGAGAAGTGGCAAGCAGCACCATGTGAGAAGGACCTGAGAACTCTAAGAAAGTTGCACCTTTTCTGCTAGGAATTTTGATGTTTTGATGAATTATAATAGCCGAACCAGGTACATCAAAATCCTTCCATTCATTTCAGCCAATAATGATGTATGGCAATTCAACGCAAATATATGCGAACATATTCCGATTGGTTGATATTCTGGGGGCCGAGGCCTCTTTGAAGCCTCTTCCATTCTCCCAAGCACTTTTGATCACTGAGACAATTGACAGATGCATGGCAGTTGAGAAATGTATAAACCGCAATTTGATGGAGGTTTCTGCTAACTTCCTCACCCCAGCAGCCAACTAACTTCCATGTAGTTACCAAGAAGGTCCCCATGTCTTTCTGTTGTGGGGTATTTCAGGAGCGAATCTTTGAAATCTTCGACCATTCCTGGGGTTTATATGCCTGGATGGTGAAGAAGGAAGCGGCTGAATCATTGATTCGGAACCTCTTCCCGCGTCTTGGTGTTTGCTCAGATTCCTGGGGCTGGGATCATGACTGATCATGAGAAATGGCACATCTTCAAATCTAGGTTTGTCTGAAAATTTTGTACCCAATTGAAAAGGCCCATCAACCAGTGGGGTCCATCCTTCATCGGACAGACTCTTCTTGGTTCCATGATGCAATGATTGTTTCAGGATCAGCAGCCAAGTTGACTACGCAATATCAAGATATTTGATCACAAGGCGCAGCAAGGTGACACCCATTGAGCATCATACATAGCCAGCAGTTTTTTTTGTGGCCAGGTGTTGTTTCAAGCTTCCGAAGGAAACTTATGGGTTGGCTCAAACTTTTGCTTTCAGTCAAATTATGTCAAATCTGTTGAAGAATCGAAAGCATATACCCTCTGGTAATTTAACATAGCTATGGAAAATCACCATTTATAGTGAGTTTTCCCATTAAAAATGGTGATTTTCCATAGCTATGTTAGTTTACCAGAGGGTACATGTCTTATTGTTTCCTGTTGATTTTACAAGCTGTTCCATGTCCTATGACGCTGCCGCGACTTGTCTGTGTCAGGCACGGTGGTGTCTACAGTGTTTTCCCGGACCGCTTACTATTCTACAGTCCCACCAGTGGCACGGCGATATCCCAAGAAAATATGGGCTATTGAACGGTATGGAACAGTAGCTCCATTTCAGGATCCATAAATATACCACTGAAATCTGAAATTAGTATAAATTAATGATATTGATGAATGGTGACATGATCATGATGGACTTTGGGGCGTTGAAGGTGGTATTGAATCGAAGCAGTTGCAAAATGCGCGCTCAACGCGCCTCGAGATCAGAAAAACAAAGTTTTTGGATGGTCCACTTTGAAAATTCGAAGGGGAGAGACTTATTGGTGTTTTGTTTGCCACATGTTTGTTGATCCTTTTCGGCATTCTTGGTGGCATATCGCAACAACGAAGAAAACTATAGTGAGTTACTATAAGTGCATTAAACTGTACCCTTTGAAGCCCCTTGAAGGAGGTTTGATAGGCACTTTCGGGCATCCACGCACCCACATATCATCATGACACTGAATATGTTCAATGGTGTTTTTGCTGTGCTTCAGAGATGTTCAGAGTAGTATCCACCACGGCCATCAAACAAGACAGTACAAGGTAATACTAGCCTGGCAGAGGTAAAATAAACATTATACACTTGTACAATTTGGATATCATATTGATCCAATTTGATTCATATCAATGTACAAGACATATATACACCACGTGTACATGGGTAACCACATCCATAACCATTCGCGTGCCTGGATTCGAGGCGAAGAAGGGCAGGACTCGGATATTCAAACCATGCGAAGTGAAGAACAAGTGGCAGAGGAGTTTGGCTCTTGGCACGAGTACATGGAGCTCCAGAGGCAGGTTCCCAGCTAAAAAATATCTTGGAAGTGCAGTTCCATTGAACTAAGTGGAGATATGTCACCATAGTATACCATATAGTTAAAGAAACTATATATATATACATATATATATTATACATACATAATATCAGGTTTATCCCAACATATGGGGGGTTTTAATTCCTATGACTTCCTATGGTTATACCCATTTGATCATGTGTATATAAATATATATAACCTCACCTGCAGCCCCGAGTATCGAGGGATGCTGACACAACACATGCTACTTGTAACTTGGACCATGGACTTGACGCGGCACGTTCTTTGGTGTGTAAAACGTGTTTTTTGCATGGGGTTGTTCTTTTTTGGGTTTACATTGGTATCCTGCCATGAAAGTCTGAAGCAATGTTTGCTTTGCTGCGTTGCGGTGTGCAAATCCTGTGCTAAAATCGTTCGACCATTGGCCCAATAAAGAATCAATATGGATGCCATTTTTTTCCAACAAAGTGACAAATAACCTGTCATCGTTCTTTCCAGCACGCAGATTGTGGGTTGTGACGCAATACCAAAGGTTTCGGGTGGGTCAGAGCATTGCGTTTCTTTTCACGAGTAGCTTGAGCTGGGATGTATTCAAGTTCGAACTCAACATGTGGTAGCGTGACTTGCTTGCTATTCAGGAAAGAAAAGTTGATATCCCTAAGCTTGGGTTTATATATATAATATATACATATATACGTCTGTTTTTTCAACTCACTTACCCTTTGGGATTTGAAACGGTTGCATTCATGCAAATCGAGGCCAAATGTCAGGCATTCAGGTACGAGGATCGTATGGGTCAAGTTGTTGATTGCCCCGAAAGCGGCAGGTCCGTTAGCGGTCCCCTATGTCAACAGCTTGTCCATAGTTCAACATATTTCAACATAATAATTTCATCAGTTTTGTCAGTTTTGATCATATTCCATGTAGTTCAACCAGTGTTTCCACATCGCTAATTACCCTATGGCAAATAAACATAGACCCTGAAAATGACCAATTTTTAGTGGAAACTAATCTTCCAACCCCCATCTGCCAGGGTCTATGTTAATTTACTGGAGGTACCTCTCATTGTCATTTAAGAAGCCCATTTCGTCAACTGTTGACCTCAGACCATCTTTCCGGCCAAGCTCGTATGGCGAGTTGGAGGCCTTGGAGGCCGAGGACCTGCCCACTGATCCCACCCCCTTGGAGGCGATGAGTTGGCTTTCAATAGGAGATGATCTGTAGCCTTCACCTTGGACCTTGTGTTGATGAGGTCAACATGTGAGACACTTAAGAAGTCACTCTCGACTCTGCAAATCGCCCCGCCAACAGAGACTCAGTGGTTCAGTGGTTGCCATGATAAGAAAGTTCATGTTCCTAGAAGTTATCATGTTATCATAGATAATGTACATAATGTCAACACGGAGCTTCCTGGAACGAGTAAAACCCTGGTTGATTACTCGATTCTTCCGCATATGATGGACTCAGGAAGTGCATTAATTTGATTGCCAAGCCCCCTACTTGGGGGTTTATCAACTTTAAGACTTAGTTTGAGTTTTATTGGATATTGGGTACCCGGAAAAAATGATGCATGATCATCATTTCCTATGTATATATAAATTAACAAAATAAAATAATTTGGGATATACCCCATGTTTGGAAATACCCATATGACATGTTCAAATCATTCTAATCATGGTCATTGCCCAGCTGAACGCGAGGACCTCTATGACTATGGCCTGAACGACTTCCCGGAGGAATGGAGTGATTGACCGCTGCCAAAAGAGAAGTTGCTGATGCCGACATCGTGTGTGGGAGAAGACTTATGGGGCCTTTGTGTAAGCCTCATCATCTCTTGTTCCGGCGGAGGGCCACCCATTGTGATGGAAGGTCAAGGTGTTAGATGACTATTAGATGATTGCACTTTTTTGGATTTTCTCGGTATTTGACGATATGACGGATGTTGATCTCCATCAACCCAAACATACCCCACTGACACCCATTTATAGTCAATTGAACACATCCCCATTCTGGCAGCTGAACTCACACTGAGGCTCGGCACGACTCCACGAGTGGAAGTGGATGCCAAAGAGTATCCCACACTTTGGCGCGCGCTCGATTGTTGGGAAGCCCAGAAGTAGCCTATAGGCTGGGTGGAGATGAGGACTCAGAATGCCACTCGCGATTGGCAAGTTGGAAGTTGTGATGGCGAGCCCAAGTTAGCCGCTGGAAGAAAAGACTTGGTGCGGCTTGATCACTCCCTACTTGCACTAGTTCCGAAGCCTTTGCGTTCAAAGATGTCAAGGCTTGTGTGGGCCGATGGTGTTTACATGGTGTGATTTAAGGCAAGTAACAACATGTTGACCGAGTGTCACCTCGTGGCCTCAGGAGCAGCTTATTACCAGCTGCATATGCAGTCTACACCGTGGTATGTTGATGAAGTCCATCCCTTCGCCTTTAAATCATGGAGCATAACATATCAATCTGGTTGGTGGTTTGGAACATGAATTTTATGTTTCCATATATTGGGAATCATACTCCCATTTGACGAATATTTTTCAAGATGGTTGAAACCACCAACCAGTCAATTATCAATATACATTGACCTTGCATCCACTGACTGTCTCCACATTGGATGCCCCAAGTCAACTTTTGTGAGCGCTAAACTGCTGGTCAAGTTTCTGATCATTCAGACTTTGGGATTTTCGGGGATCTATACCATCCTTCTCGCTAGATTACCCCCAAACTGAATCATACATAAACATAACCCGTTCATCCCTAGTGCTACAAAAGACACTTTGAAAAGGTGTCCAAGGAAACCATAAACCAGCCCTAAAATAGAGTCTCAGAGGCTGGAGCTGTAGGGCACTGTGTAGGTGGTTTATAACCATGTATAGACCATTTGGCGGGTGATATGTCTATCATATACCAGAGTAATTACATGTAATTACCCACTTAGTGGGATGCACATAGTATATCATATGCATATCATATCGAGTGGGTAATATAGGCTATATTTATATATTTCTATCATTAGTTCCTGACCTACCGGGCCATGGCGTGATGCTGCTGCATCATGCTGTGGCGGATGCGCTACCGTCTCTTCTTGGACCAGCGGCCATACGACTTGTGGCACTGGCGCGAGGAGGGGCGCATGTTCAGCTCATCCGTGGGCCCTTCTCTATGGAACGTCCCAACATGCTGCAGGTGTCCTAAGTCTTGGGGCCCCAAATCATCCAGTCATTTGACCATGAAGCATTCAAAACTATGGTGACGACTGGGGATCACCATGACTTAAGAAACCCCCGGCCATATGGGAAGTTGTTGTTGAAACAGCCATCAATAGAGATCTATAGACCCATGATAAGGATTCTTATTGTGGGATGGACGACCATAGTGCCATAGCCCATAATTACAATTATATTAGGTGATGCTGGTAAGTTTCATATCAAAAAAACACCAATAAATCAGTCATCAGCATGTCTGATATGGAACCCCACAATATTGGTTTGGAGGTTTATGTTTACTTTTTTGTCAAACTCCCAAGTTCTGTTCAAGAGCCGGAAACACACTTTGTGGTTCCCTCAGTCGTTTATCCGCCTCAGCCTATACATGGTGTTGCATCATTTGGGAGTTTGGATGGATTTAATGGAGGCTAAATACACATTATGCGGTGTGGCGGCACAATGATGGATCTATTGCATGGTTTGTTGTTGTTTCCATTCTACACGATTAGCTTCTGTTTGATCAGTAAGTCAAAGCATGTCTTTGCTTGATAAATCCACTTTTTTACTTATGCTGCTTGATATCGCCATCATGTGTGATCTCTGTTTCTACCTATTATGCAATGAATGCTGTTGCATTTGGCAATCCATCCTCTCACCCACCATCCATTTGTACAGGTGCAACTGCACAACTGAGTTACAAGAGCAACAGCAACATCTTTGACGAAGATTGCCGTGGACTATCCGGGACTATCCCTGTTGGTTCACAGCATCCATTGACATGCCAGATATTTGGATGTTCACCAGTGACGAACCAGGATTGGATTTGATCCATAGCCATACTCTGTTGTGGCAGCAGGTTGTTTGTTGTGTGTTCAACAATAAACAGTGCAGCTGCACAGGTTGTCGCTCCAGCTTTGAACCACAGAAGGCACGCAGCAGCAGATGCTGAATGAAAGCCTCTAATCCCAGATGCTCCATGCGTACCAGCCAACATTTTCCATGCAGGAACATATGAGAATGAGAATGTTTGGACAGTCCAAGTTGGGTTCCTATACCGCAAGAAAATTGGTTGCTACCTAGTTTCAGCATGGCTGCTACATTTGCTAGTGTACGTTGGCTCACAATTGGGAATACTATTGAAGATTGCAGGGTCCAGCATGGTGATTTCCACCAGTGTTACACAGGGTCATTGGCTACATGGCGAAAACAAATTACCAACTGGACATGGCTGAGACATGGTTATGTACCATTTGGAAACTGGTTTCACTATGACCTTTGGATAGTTGCAAATAAGTCCCACATGGTTTAATGATGCTTTAATGAGATTATTGCCATTGATCCACATTTTCCCATGTTTCCCATATTTTCCCTTGCTGCTGGTTAAACCAGTTAGACCTCTATTTTTTATGTGGACTGGAGAGCTGAACGCCAGGTTCGGCATGCATTGTTGGCCCATGAAGCGTGGCTCTTCGTGGCCACCGAGGAGTTGAGTCTAGCGGTTCGAGCAGGCAGGGGGCAGGGGTCGTCTTACAATTTGAAACTCCAAAAATCCTAAGGTCGATCATGGTTTATCATGATTTTCCCCACTGAGCATTGTCATTTTGGTTAGTATATGGCTTTTGTTTTGAGACAAAGCCATATGTTTCTGGCTCAGCTACTAGAAAATGATACCTTGGGTGCTATGAGGCAATGTCCCGCCTAGTTAGAACTAGTTAGAACCGCTAATTGCTGGTCCTCCTTGCATAGCCAAGTGTTCAGATGAATCTCTGGTTCAGCTAGTTACCAGCCCTACCGCGGCTACAGGACTCAACAGTTTTCAATGGCTTTGATGGCCCCCAAATAGTAATTATACAGGTATTTATATAGACTTATTTAAAGATTGTTTTGGAAACAAAAACATCGGAGGAGTTCCGAGTTTGATTTTGTTTTCCACCAAAGCAACACATTCAATTCTCACCAATCCGACACCGCCCTCAACAAGGTGATGGGCTGGCAATCCCATGGCCCAGTGATGTCCAAACGGACATGGTGCTCCACGTGGCGAAACTTTGCTGCGTCTTCGCCATGTCTTCCGAGACTCGATGCATGGGTATGTTAAAAGACCCTCCAAGTATCCATCAAAAAACAGGTATTGTATGTGTTGTATCAGATATGATCATATATTTATATGTTTTATATATATAATATATATATATGTTTGAGTACTCTTACCCATTTTGTTGGTTACTTCGAGGGTCTAGGTTGTAGAGTCTATGGACATATTTAGCGACACGGTCAATAAGGTGGAGATGAGCGGAGCTGGGAAACCATATTCCCTATACTAATCCAAGAGCCGAAGATGAGAGGTTCAATCTAGGAACAATAGTTATTTGGGAGTTCAAATTCTGTTAACCTGTCGTTTTACACGTGTTTGTTCCATTTGTTTCCGGAAGACTATTTTTGAAATAGTCTGTTTCAGGCTCACCTTTCAGTTTGTCAGGGTCTCCCTTTCGCAGCCATCACATCGACTCTTTGCTGACCTTTAGAGCTGGTGATGTTTGATTCAATCTTTGCGAACCAAAACACTTATGACCCGGAAATCTGTGAGGAATCAGTAGAAGCGCTTCAGAAAAGCCAGGTCTTCATCAAGATAAGGCCTTCCAAACCTTCCCCAGGCATGGTGGCCAGGTCTGGAATCAGGGAAAGTTGGGGCACGGGATGACAAGTTGAAATCTACCAATCTACCACAGTTCTGTTTGTTGGGTTTGAACTGGTTGGAACTTGCAGATCCTTCTGGCGATCTGGTCAGGAAACTCACGACTCTGTGCTTTGCGCTTGGCATTGCGATGGTCGTGAAATCTGGAAAGAACAGACTGGCCTGAAACTCTTACAGCCACTTTATTTTATCGCGGCTGGGCCCAGATGAGGAGCTGGCAAGATTCTGGGATAGGACGATAGGACCCATGTTGGCCAGTGCCATTGCTTGCTTGGGGGTCGAGTAGGGTTAGAACTTCAGCTCTCCGGTTTAACTAATGGCATAAGGGTTGCGACCCCCATGGCTGAATGTTGACCTGCTGTTGATCTGCATGATCCACAGTTTCAGGGACACTCGCACGTTGTTGATTCTGTCCCGCAATGCTTGGCTATATCCCTGTCTCCACTGAAATCTTGCTGATGAAAGCAAGCAAGACCGCGGCACCCTGGTGGACCTCACTAAGTAGCCATCAAAGTAGCTGGTAAAGCATGGTAAAGCTACATGTTCATCCCCCCATTCATATGGTATCATATGGTATCCAGGTATCGACCCATCCCCAAGTCGCCCCAAGTTCCCACTTTTGTCATGACACCTCCCTAGGATCGCGTGAACGCCCTGTGCGCAGGGTGCTTTGAGGGTATCTTTCTTTGGGATGCCACCAATGGATCTTTGCTCCGGCGCATGAACACGGAACTGCCGGTGGATCGAATCTGGCTCATCGGCAGCAGAGGGTTCCCAGGGAAGGTGCGGAAACCGTCAATTTGGAGGTCACCATCCTCATCAGTTCAATCTATTTCTTCATTTTACCTGGCTCGTACAGCTCCAAACACTCTCTGAGACTGCAGTTGGGGCTGCTTTTTGGAGTCTAAACACCTTTCCAGAGTGTCTTAGGGCTTCTGTCAATTCCACTGCTGACACATCAGAAATTGACAGCACGTGTAAGAATGACACAAAGGCAACTCTAAACAGGCAACGTCTGGAAACGTGTCCTCAGATTGTGGGCTGCAGGTTTGATCATTGACAGAAGCCCTTACTTAATGGTCCCTGATTAGGCAACAATGATTGGAAAATTTGAACAGTCCCACGAGTTATAAGTTGGTTTATAAAATTCAATATCCTGTATGTATGATAGAATACATGAATATCAATGAATATCATATAATTATACGCATCTTGTATCCAGATATATCCACTGTGAATCCTAGGTATTAAATTTGAAACCAACTTACCCTCCTTGGGATCCCCACATTATGCCCATATAATCCCATATATATATAGATATTATTGCTCGGTCAAACCTTCTACGTCTTTGCTTTTTGGATCGGCTAAACCAAGGCACTTTGAGTGTCTTGGCTGCAGGGCTGTAGAAATTGGACATGTTTGGCTCACGCTACGTTCCACACAATTGGTTGGTGGGTTTGTGTTAGGTATATACACATATATATATAATGTGTGTGTACGTGTGTGTACATATATATATAATGTTTATATATGATATGATCTATGCTATACTCCTTTCATCGGTATTATCCACCCTTGCCCATCTTGGACAGCTCATGCGCCAATCAGCTTGTGATCCTGAAAGAGATCCCATGCTGTGTTTTTTTTCACATGGCGAAGCCATGTCCCATTTGTGATTTGGAGGTTTCCTAAGTCATGGCGGTACCCCCAAATCATCCAAAATTAGACCATTTTTGCATTGAAACCTATGGTTGTGGTGATCCCCCCATTTAAGAAACACCAATCATCCGATGAAAAACATGTAGATTTCCGTTCACAAAGTGTTAGTCATGACATCCATGTCACCCTTTTTTAGGCTGCCCACATGTGACGGACATCGGGATTTGCTTTGTGCACGAAGCAGTGAAGTCCTGGGATTGACGTCTCAGCTGTTGGTGTGGAGCAGCTTGGAGGCCGGGTGCGTTTTGGAAGGCGTGGAGGCGCCATGCGGCAAGCAGGGCGCGGTTTGACATGGCCAAAGATTGCACAAAGGCGTCCAACCACCTGAAATAGACCACGTTGCTGGCACTGAGACATAAATTTGGTTTCGGTGTTTCAAGCATATTGTTCATCCTTCAATCTTTGTTTTTCAGTTTTTTTTTCTACCAGGACACGTGCCTTTGGATGAAAGAATTCATGCGTCAGTCAATACCAAAAAACGGGGATACCAGTACTGAACCGCGTATGTGGATTGAAGCTGGAACGACCCTCTGCAGTGTATATACAGATCTCTGATCTCGACATCTAAGTATCACCAAACGACTCTCTGTCCAACCACAAAGCTCCCACAGGACGACACGGTTCAGCCGTGGCAAAAGACCACCAACGAAATGATCATGGCCGTAGCTAGCGATGACTCACGGCTCTTTGCGCGTGTTGGCCAAGCCATTTGTGCCTGGGACAGGGCTGGGAAGGAGAGCTGGCAGCGGCAGGAGACGCTTGGTGGATTGTCAGGGGGTCCAGTCTTTGGGCATTGCAGGCAGGGAAATTTGTCAAATTATTTTTAAGATCTGCAATTTTACATTATATATGTATATATACATAACATAATAATGTAGGTTTCTGATTAGTACAGGGGGGTCCCCCCCTAACAAATTTAGGATACACAATAGTGTGGAAAAAAAAGGGATCGGGTACACAATAGTGTGGAATCAAAAAAATGATCGATTTCAATTGATTTCATTTTACTTTCAATTGAATTCAATTTACTTTCAATTGATTTCAATTTACTTTGAATTGATTTCAATTTATGTTCAATTGATTTCAATTTACTTTGAATTGATTTCAATTTACTTTCAATTGATTTCAATTTACTTTGAATTGATTTCAATTTACTTTCAATTGATTTCAATTTACCTTGAATTGATTTCAATTTACTTTCAATTGATTTCAATTTACTTTGAATTGATTTCAATTTACTTTCAATTGATTTCAATTTACTTTGAATTCATTTCAATTGATTTCAATTTACCTTGAATTGATTTCAATTTACTTTCAATTGATTTCAATTTACTTTGAATTGATTTCAATTTACTTTCAATTGAATTCAATTTACTTTCAATTGATTTCAATTTACTTTGAATTGATTTCAATTTACTTTGAATTCATTTCAATTGATTTCAATTTACCTTGAATTGATTTCAATTTACTTTCAATTGATTTCAATTTACTTTGAATTGATTTCAATTTACTTTGAATTGATTTCAATTTACTTTCAATTGATTTCAATTTACTTTGAATTGATTTCAATTTACTTTCAATTGATTTCAATTTACCTTGAATTGATTTCAATTTACTTTCAATTGATTTCAATTTACTTTGAATTGATTTCAATTTACTTTCAATTGATTTCAATTTACTTTGAATTCATTTCAATTGATTTCAATTTACTTTGAACCGATTTCAATTTACTTTGAATTGATTTCAATTTACTTTGAATTGATTTCAATTTACTTTCAATTGATTTCAATTGATTTCAATTTACTTTCAATTGAATTCAATTTATTTTCGATTGATTTCAATTTATTTTCGATTGATTTCAATTTACTTTCAATTGTTTGAGTGATGTTTTTTAATTGGGTTTTTATAAGGCATTATATATTTTGGGAAATTGGGCATTTCTGATCATTTCAAATGAAAGAAACTAAGAAAGACATTAACTAAAAGGAAAACATCTTTAGCAAAGGCAGCAAAGGAACAGGTAAAGGAAATGGTTGAAAAAAAAAACGCATCAGGAGGCAGCTGGACACAATAGTGTACCCCCATACTATTGTGAACCTGGATCTAATCCGCCGACCCCGGCCTTGGCCAAGGCAGGGGCGGCGCCTGGGACCACCGCAGGTGTGGAACTTCTCCTTCTTAGCTTCCCAAGGTCAAACCCATCTCGCAGCCAACAGCGCTGCCCCAAGGCCATGTCGCGTAAACATTCTCCTGGCATGCTTCATCCTGCAGTTAAGACTTCCAGGCATTTGGACATGAAAATTACATGCTTTGGGCAAGTAAGTTTTCCTGCGGAAGGTTTTGTATTTCAAGGCCAAAGCAGCCGTTCCCGCATTCCCGTAGTAAAGGTTCAAGTCATCGACAGCGATGAAGACGGCGGGGTCCGTCCTTTGCCTTCTGTGCGGGCACCAAACGCACGAGGCCGCCTGCGCCGGCTTTAACTGTGCAAGGCCTTCTGCACGGGCTTTGAATGTGCAAGGTGCTGGACAGCACTTAGCAGGCATGTCCTGTACCCATATGGGCGCCCATATTTGGGCAATGGTTGCGGAGCTTGTCGGGGGTGGTCTACCTGCGTGTGGTGTTGCACTTGTTGCGCAGGCAATAGCGCTGCCCCAAGGCCACATCGCTTAAACATTCCCTTGGCATGCTTCATCTTGCAGCCAACAGGCACCCCAAGGCCACACATCAATGGCTTCTTATGGGCGCGCAAGCCTGCCGTTTGCCAGCCCTTAAACCCTTAAAACGCTTAAAACGCTTAAAAACCATCAAAACCCTTAAAACCCTTAAAACACCCTTAATGGGCGTCCAAGCCTGCCGTTTGCCAGCCCTTAAACGCTTACCCTTAAAACCCTTAAAACCCTGCAAACTGCGCAAAAGCTTCTCGGCACGCCGAACCGCGCAGGCAATAGCGCTGCCCCAAGGCCACATCGCTTAAACATTCCCTTGGCATCCCTTGGCATGCTTCATCTTGCAGCCAACAGGCACCCCAAGGCCACACATCAATGGCTTCTTATGGGCGTCCAAGCCTGCCGTTTGCCAGCCCTTAAGCCCTTAAAACGCTTAAAACGCTTAAAAACCCTCAAAACCCTTAAAACCCTTAATGGGCGTCCAAGCCTGCCGTTTGCCAGCCCTTAAACGCTTACCTTAAAACCCTGCAAACTGTGCAAAAGCTTCTCGGAACGCCGAACCGCGCAGGCAATAGCGCTGCCACAAGGCCACATCGCTTAAACATTCCCTTGGCATGCTTCATCCTGCAGCCAACAGGCACCCCAAGGCCACACATCAATGGCTTCTTATGGGCGTCCAAGCCTGCCGTTTGCCAGCCCTTAAACCCTTAAAACGCTTAAAACGCTTAAAACGCTTAATAACCCTCAAAACCCTTAAAACCCTCTTAATGGGCGTCCAAGCCTGCCGTTTGCCATGGAGCCCGTGTGCAGCAGGTTTTTTTTTGTAACCCTCGAGTTGTTTTTTCTCTGCGCAGTCAGCCGACAGGCAGCGTCTATGGCAAAAACGTGTAAGTTCATTGTGGAAGTTGTGAATCGGATCTAGCGGAGTCGGGTCACTAGGTGTTTCCATGAATCCTGTGCACTGATTCGGAAGGAACCAGTTCATCAGCTTACTTTTTGCATAACCATGAGCATGTTATGAGCTGGTGATGATGATTTGTAACCGAGCTTTCGTTCATTTTTTTGGGTATCGGCGCCAATGCCAAAATGGGACTAGCCTAGTCCCGTTTTTGTGCCCGCTTGCTCTTGCCCCGTTGGTTGTATCTGGTTTGTACGTGTCTTTTGGATGGAGCCGGTGAGCGGGGACAGTGATATAGCAAGTTGGGTTAAGCAGTTAACCATCGAAACAGGGAATGGGGACCAACAATAGTAGGCAAAACGCGGATGCATGTTTGGGAAACCAGTAGCTATGGGTCAAGCCATTGACAAAGCAACGAATAGAGGTCAATATAACCATGACTGATAGGGGATAGTGGTTGATAATGCTGGTTAGATGATGGCTAAAGACGGCTGGCGAATGCACGATAGCAACGACTGTTCCTCATGGCCTTTCCGAGACAGATTGTTCACTGGAACGTTGTGGTTGCCTGAGATTTCTGGCCCAAGGTGTCTGAATCCATCAAGGACCGTGATAGGTGTAGCATGGCCTCCTTCAAGGTGATTCTTGTCGAGTTGAAGCCTACTGCAGACCCATCCTTGCAGGGCCCGTGGAAGGAGGGAGATGTGAAGGCTTTGCTATCAAACTGAGTCCGATTCTTCTGCGCAGGACGATCAATTGACAAGGCTGAAGAGGCTGCAGGGTCCAAGGAACGCTCAAGTTGTAGCCAGCTGAGTCGAAAGGAACCAAGTTTCAAGCTAAAATCTGGGACGTGACTGGGTTAGATATAGACCAACCACCTTCAGCCCAACCCCCCAGAAGGGGGGTCGGCGGCACCCGGGCGCTAGCCCACTCTATTTTCTGTGGGAGGCATCTGGAAAATTTCAATGATGGGAAATAAAAAGTAAAAGAAAAAAGCTTTAAAAAGCTTCAAGCAAATGAAAAATGAATGCTCAGAAACAAGACCAAGACACAATAGTGTACCCAAGACACAATAATGTATCCTGACACAAATAAATATAAAATAAATATCATGTTTAAAATTGTAAAATTAAAAATTGAATATATATATATAAATGTAATAATGTAATGTTTGAATTTGTTAATTTGTTAAATTTAAAATTGAATATATTTAAACAAAGAATTAATATATATATACATATATATATATATATTTAATGCTAATTAATTATCAATTTAAAATGATTAAACAAAAAAGTAGAAAATCATTTTAAACAATTATTTTTTTAAAAAAAAAAACTGAAAATACTTACTCCAAAATCCTGTGGACACAAAACTGTACCCTCGATCATTTCCAAAGTTTCAGAATTATTTTGAGGTCTGTGGACACAATAGTGTATCCCCACACTAATCAGGATCCAACACTATAAAATATTATAATATAATCTGATATAAAATAATATAACATAATATAATATAACATAATGTAATATAATTCAATACAATATAATACAATATATATATATATATTTAGCATAATATATACATAAACATGTGTGTATATATATATATGTATACAGACACACACACACACATATATATATATATACACACATACACATGTATACTGGGTGAATGAATTTGATCCCTTGAGTGGATGGCGAATCTGTTTCAACAGTAATAATACGAAACTGATGGACTTCTGTTGAGAGTGAAAGACTCAAAGCAACTCTTAGATGCTGATAGAATCAGTGTTCATTTGAGCTGGGATTACACCGAAACAATATTATTTTGATTCCTTTGGGGTGAAACTGTGAGCTGATGTCAATCCTATCTGCACTAAGGCCTTTTTGGAAACTTGCTCGTAAAGATTTGTTCTTTTAATGACTATAGCAACTATAGTGCTATGTAATGGTCAGGAACTCCTTTTGTGAATGTGGCAAAGCCAATGCACCATTCCCAATTCATCACCATTCTCAGGCCAATGCTGCCCCGTTTGCCAACGCTTCCAACACGCCTGCAGCTGAGCATGGGAAACGTCTACGTCGCAGCGGGCCATTTGATCTTGGCCTTGAGACTTGGCGACAGAAACAGGTCATGGTACTGAAAAGACAAGCGGCACCAACAAGAAAAAATATAAGCAAAATCAAAAGAAGAAGAAGAAGAAGAATAAGAAGAAGAAAAGAAAAAAACAACAACAACATTGACGACAACAACAACAACAGCAATCTTCATAAGCAAACGAAGAAGAAGAAGAAAAAAAACATTTAAAAAAACAATAAATAAGGAACATACAACAAGATAGAACACTTGAAATTACATAAGAAACAATAATCATATGACAATAACACATATAATAATCCAAACAAGAACAAAAACAACAGAAACAGCAGCAATGCAACCAGAAATATGAGAACCGTGAGAAGAAGCTGAAAACCACAAGAAAACAAAAAAAAACAAACAACTGGGAAAATCAAAAAGAACTCAGCAGTCAGCAACCATTTTTTCATATTTTTTCCATGTGCAGTACTCACTGCCTCACTGCCAGGACCGCAGAGACCGGTGAATTGCACTTCAAAGTCACGTCTCTTGAGCCGCAAAGAGTATGGGCCACGGCGGCCACGTACCCATCATGAAAAAGAGGGTTTATAGAAGGTTTCAACCAACAAACATGGACATTTCATGACATTTCACCATGAAGCGTGAGGTATAGTGATTCACCCAACCAGCAGTGGGATGGATTTAAACGATCCATTCATGTGTTTTTTTTCATGACCTGAAAGTTGGGAGTCACCCGCTGGGGGTGTGAAATGTATGAACAAGAAGGATATGAGCGTGGGCATGGGTCTTCTGAAGTTTCAGGAGAAAATCAAATCCATGGAAACTCTGTTGCGATACACAGTTGATTCTGCAATGTTTCACAGCCAAGCACTGAAGTTCCCACTTGTGTTGGTCAAGAGACCAAGGGATTATTCAAGGCGAAACCACTGCAGTAGACCTGGCGGGTTGTCCAAGTTCATGTTCACAAGGTTCCTGACCTGCTTTAGATAAACCAATGACACACTATGCAACATGTGTTTGAAGTGTAAACACATTTGAACCTTAAACAGCCTAAAAAACATGTAACATCATGTAACAGTAAATGATGGTAGTCACCAGGATCAAAGAGTCGACTGGATAAGGACAGTAGCAATGAGAAGCGAATCCGCCAGGACGACGGGCTCCGTGGTCAAGGTATATCCGATTTCAACTTCGTACATGGTGCCTGGGCATGGCCTGCGTGTTCCCTGAAACTAGTTGTACTTAATGGTCATATGTGGTAGCCGTTTGGGATTGCTATGAATTATCCCAAGCAGAACACCAGGCATTGTGCTGGAGACGTCGATGATGATGTTGTTGTTGTTGTTGATGATGAGGATCGTGGTCATGGTAGAATTTGTGCGCTTGTCATGGACAGGTTCAGTGGTTGTGTCCCCAATTTTGGCACTCGAAAACAAAACACGGATGCCTCAACGAAAAGTCTTGAATTTTGATTGAATTTTGATGGCGGCTAAAGTTGTCGAAGACAAATCAACCGAGTTGGCATCCCATGTGACACAGTGCCACAGTGCACGCTCTTGAGTAGGTTCATTTAGAAATATACCTTCACACAATGTCACACATGTTCACTCAATTTCACTCAAGTTCTTTAGCGGATAATTTGATCTGTTTATGTGGCTCCTATCGGAAAGAAACTGGGTGATTTCTTTCTTTCCTTGTGATGGTTTGAACTTTACTTTAGCAATCTTTAGTACACGTGTTGCTTGCATTTGCATCTCAGGGCGACCCAACTCCATGAATTTCCTCTGAGGTTTCTTTGATCAGATCTAGCAATTACTCCTTGGGTTTTCTGAACCTTTCTCAAGGCGCTGATCATTTGCTGTGCTTCATGACTTGCATTGGCATGGGTCAAGTTAAAGGCTGCCATTCTGGATATGCCACAATATGTCCTAATCAATTGACCGCCATACCCACTATGACAATGGTATACAGAGTTGCTTGGAGGTTTTGATGTGATAGGTGATAACTACATGTTGCTACAAGTACTCTGTATATATAATAATATTATATAATTATATTATATTATATTATTTTATATATATATATGTAATATGTATGGTTAAGGACTGGGGTATCGACTGAACATAAGGCATCATATTGGAATATATCCGATCACAAGCAGACCTTAGGCGGGGTTATGTCTTGGAACTCTTATATGTACATACGGTACGATCAAAACACACGCGCACACACACATATATAATAAATAATATATATATATATATATTACACACATATATAATATACCTAGACTCTCCAAAGTCCCCACTCACAAAAAAAAAAGTAAACATACATACTAAAAATATGAGGTAAACACAGCAACATGTATAATGGGTACTTGGAGGGCCTAGGTACTGTTTGAGTGGTTTGTCAGGTTGCACACGTTGAATCCCTGACGAGGCGAGCTAAAAGTGACATCCTTGAGGGGTGAGATTCCGAAGGCATCCATTGCATGGAACGCATTTGCACCTTGGCGAAGTATTGTTGTGTCTTTTTATCATATTTGATGTTTACTGACTTGTACAGTTTCAGTTTAACTGGCCCTTGTGCAATGTAATGGCACCTTCGGCAATATTTGATGTGTTCAGGGACCATGTGGCAAATCTGTAGAATCTTCAGCAGACTCCAAGCTGTTTTATGTTGAAAACTGGACATTTGTCACACCCAGTTGGGCTTGGCAATGCTTGGCACCCGGGCCAAAATCCCAGGTGATTGTAGCAGTTGTGGACGCCAATTGTGACAGTGACTTGTTTGAAATTTAAAGCCACATATTGATTTTACTTTTCAGCACCAAAAAGTAGGATGATTTGATTTCCAATTGCTTTTGTTTGGCAATTGTTTTGCTTTGGGTGGGGTGGTTTTTCAATGGTTTAACTGCAAACCAGGTGACCAAAGCTCCTTAGTGACTTATGACTTCACATCTGGGCGCCTGCTGTGGCAGCGATGCTTTGATCAGACGCTGCAGAGCTTATGCAAAGATCAGCATCGTATTTTCGCAGGCGCCCCAAGGGGTCATCGGAGAATCTCCCATCTAATCATCTAGTTGTCATGTTCAAGGCTATTGCCTGTGGGGATCCAATTTTCTCCATTTCGATGCCATCTCAGCAGGTTCATGGTGAGGATGTCATTTTCGAATATGTTTGATCCATGTTGGAACCGAGTCCCAAGATCTCTGTCAGGTGGCGTTGGCTTCATCTCTGCTTTGGATCCGCGTGAGGGGTCGATACTTTGGCACACCCAACTCGATGGTATGGTCAAAGCATTGACCTTGATCGCAGAGAAAAATGGAGTTCATGAGTTCTGTGTCTCAGAGATAGGGGATTTACATGGATTAACATGGATTTACATGGATTTTAAGGAGTTACCCACTCTTCAGCCATGTAAATGAGGAAGGGTTGCTTTTGTTGACATGCAATTATCAGGTATTCTATGTTGAGACAAGCCCACGGGGGGGAGCCAAGACCTGACCTTTTGGATCCTTTTGGCACTTTTGGCAATGGCAAACTCGCAGCATCATCCTATGTCAACTTGGCCAGAATTGCCTCCAGAATTGTCCCATGTTTGAAATGACCAAATGGTTAAGCACCTGGTCGACCAGTCAACCATTGGTACCCTAGTAGGATTCCCCTGAAAGATTGAAACAACGAGGATTGCTGAAACAACGGGGATCCCAAACGCCAATGATTTAACTGGGGTAACTGGGATGCCCATTGTAGCCCAATAAAATACATATCAGAACCCTCACTGGGGACGGCTGAAATATTCTGCTTTTATTTGTGATTCATATTTGCTTATCAGAACTAACTATCCCATAATTATATTTAATTATCCCATCATATTGGGATGTAACAAGTTTATGATCCCAGTATGATGTGATAACTATCCCAATTAGATAACATGTTAGATATCCCAAGTGATACTATTCCATCATAGTATTAGGATTACATTGTGATAACTGTCCCATTTCATCTCCCCTTTTGACAATGGAGCTGTCCTAGTTAGGTCTGGGTGTTCCCCATGATGGAAAGCTCATGGTGATCAAGGAAACGCTGCTCGTTTTTTTTCACCATGGGTTTTTGGCACGTGTACCACGGGGGGTAGAAGATGAACCTTTATTTAACATGTTCAAAGATGAAGATGGATACTAGATGGATGAGTTTAACGAACTTCTAGAAGTTAAACTGTTAAACTCATCCATGGATACTAGATGAAATTTAACAAGATGAAGGACCAGTCACAATAAATAACCAACAAATAGCATGTTGAGGGGTCTGGAGTTTGGGACCAGACCCATAGATTGTTTCTTAACAAAGATTGGAATCCCATTTGGGGTTGGGATGTTGTGCACGATCTATGTCTCTGAATTGTTGAGTTGATCATTTCAGAAGTTGAATGAAGATCATGTATATTCAGCCTTCAAGCCTGAACCTGAATGTGACTGTGACCAACAGTCTTAGCTGAGTAGTATGGCTGAAGTTTGACTGGCGGGCCTTCACCCAGTTGCCAGTTGCCAAGATGCAAGCAAATCCATGATATCTTTCCGCAATCATAGACCATTTATACATCTTTGGTGCAAGTAAGAGGATTACGTCCATGCCCCTATCAAAGAATACTAGTACACATGTGCTGACCAGACAATCCGAACTGATGGTTGTAGGTATTTATCATGTTCCACCCAACCGGCGATGATGATCCACATATTGGTTGAGATCTCCCAGCGGAATGGTATACGAGGTCAGCCACGTTCGAAGCATCCTTCACTCGGCAGGCTGAGAGCCCCTCTCTGGACGTTTTATGCGAGAAGAAGGGCGACAGACTTCGAGGTGTGGCTCTGGGAGTTTGGGAGGTAGTGGCCTGAAGCTTCCCAAAGACTTGCTGGTCAACTTTGAGACACCAAATTGACACGCCAATTTTCCGGGCACCGAGTGATCTGATTCGGTTCCCAATTTTCCTTGACCGCAGTGATTCGCCATGGGTTTCGCCTGGGTGGGTCTGAAGGTGTTCGACCAAGCTCCGCCAGACGAGGCTGAGAGATTGATGATACCCTCATGATTTGTCTGGACCCTTCAAGCTGGCTGCGTCCGTAAAAAGATTCGCATGTCCATGTGACCAGAAATACATGCGCCATCACTTTGTTTTATGGCAGTAAATCAGCGGCTGGTACATGTTCTGATGTTCATTCATTCTTTGTGGGCCCAGTCTACTACAACCACAATGTCATTCTTCCATATCATGGTAATGGACACATTTCCCATTGTCTAGATGTGTGCATGTCCCCTATGTTTTATGGGTATGTGGCTGGGTGTGGGTCTTTTCATTGTACTCTGGTACCATGTTTTTGTTTGACAACCCCAAACTCTTGGCAAAATTGCTTACAAACTACTCCCCGCTACCCATTTCAAGAGAGGATGTAGATTGTCCATGGTTTTTGGTTGAGTGTTGTTGTTTCACAGCGCTACATTGGTACATCATGGTACATCCTCAAATAGCCTATAGCGTTTTGCAGATTTTACATGATTTCGTTCTATGCCCACTATATTCCCACTATATTGGACCCTTTTGGGATGATTCACCCAGATGGCCAACATCAGACAACTTCTACCAGAGGTGACCAGTTTCCCCATGTTTTCCCCTTTCTGGGTAGCCTCCTAGTGATAGTCAATGAACATGACATAGTGATAGTAAACGGATGTAGAGTGCGGAGTGGGAGATGTTCATTTAGGAGTTTGATTCCTAGAGGCTAAGAACTTTTGAAAACCGGTGGGATACTACTTGGTAGTCATATCACATTATATCCCATCATTATCCCAATGACTGGTGATATGTAATTGCCCCATGATGATTGTAAAACCATAATCCCCTGTGACTTGTTTTAGTACTTACTGAATACAGCCCACAATGACGACTTGGGGGTGCATCCCAGTAGGTATATAAAGTGAAACACATGTGTGTTTGTTTTTCGCTATTAATTATATAATATTATATATAGATACACATACCGCTATGTATATAGATGGCTTATTGACAATTTTCTACCTGGGATGCACCACGTGATATTTCATGCCTCACAGGCTCCCACGGCAAGCCCAGCGCCGAGCCGTTCTTTCCTCCGGAGCATTTGGTGAGGCCAGAAGGCTTGAGGCTGATGGTCATATGAAGGGCTTCCTAAACTGGCTCGAAGATCATTGGAACCCAAATGAGTCAAAACTAAAGACCTGGGGACAGCAGATGCCGACTTTGACCCAACGTGGGAAGAAGCACGCCGGCTAATTTACTATATATGGGTGGAATAATGTTCTAATGTTACCTATATTACCTATATTTACTAATGTTCTAATTTACTATATCTTAGTCGCATAAAAAAATGGGTGGATTACTAAAAACACCATCCCCAACTGGAAGGCCCGTTTATGGCACAGGATCCCCACTGATCAGGTCTGCTCCAAGCTCCAGACCTTTGTCTGCGTGCAAGGCCCAGGTACCAATACACCCTGATAGAATGTGTTGGATTTCTTGATGTGGGTATGGATCAATACCTATTAATACCATTTTTAGGCGGATGAACATCCATTTACCAGCTATTTTGATGTTCACCAGGGGTACAAGGTTTTGACACACTGCCATGTGGTCTGTTATGTAAGGGTTGGTATTTTTTTGAGGGTGATGGCGGGTGTACATGATCGACTTGGGAATATTGGTCAACCAAAAGTGGTTGGGTTGGAGCAAGAAGAAGCCCTGCTTCCCAAAACCTGGGTAGATGAAGACCTTGGCGTTCTGTGCAGTTGATGTTTCAGAGACACAATTGATATACCTAACATAGCCATGGAAAATGGCCTATTTGTAGATGGTTTACCTAGTTTACCTATTACACATGGTGATTTTCCATGGCTATGTTAAATAACCAGATGGTACTCAACATGTTCATATTATTTGGACAATATGTAAATATTTGGAAAGAGGTACATATTACATTTATTTACATTTGCCATCATGTTCTGTATGTAACAATCAAACAGTCGGAGCCTTGGCCGAGGCATGCCTCCAGTGGCTACCCGGCAGCGATCCGTGAGGCGACAGCCGGAGTCCTGGTATCGGTCAGACTTTCCGGGAATTGTAGTGATGGTTGAAGCCCCATGAACTCATATGAAATCCATTGAAATCCCATCAAACATATACATCATATACGATTTATAGAGATTTATCGGATGATTTTCCAATGATATCCCCGCATGATATGAACTATCCCGGCCCACCGAAAGAATGTATATGGGAAGTTCCAAGTTTTTATCGTAGTCATAGGGACATAAAATGCGTCACTATTCCCCACAGATAGAATGTACGGGCACGCGTGCAAAATGTTGATTTTGGGGATGAACTCATCAGTTCCTTGTGGCGATCCATTCCCCTTTAGCAGTCACGGCCAACAACAAACCGCCTCCGTGCGTACATTCTATCATATTCTATCTTTCGGTCACTCGGTATTATTTGGGGATGGATCAAACCTAGTTTTTTTTTGCCATTTCAAAGCCAATCAAGAACGAACCCCAAGTTTTCGCATTTTGACGGGATGTATGTACCATCCCAAATGGCAGGTTTATTGGGTTGTTCATGTTGCTAGCCCCTAACCTTCCAGTTACCTTTGAGATAGATAATCAGAGTGATTTTACCTTCTGATTTGGGGGGATGCTTACCTGATCCTATCTGACTGGCAACTAGAAGAGGAGGGAATGTTAATAACGTAATGTGTGAGGAGGCCGGAGAAACATTGTGGAGCCATCCAGTGCACGGGCTCCGCACCTCTCCTTTCTCAGACTCACCATGTTATAAGGTAATTGCAATCGCTTCATTTTGCGGACAGGACATATGAACAATATGTTGAACATGTTTTAACTGTATGGCTTCGGAGGACCAACCATTCATATATCTATAGAATATGTGCCTACATAGGCCATTTATGGCCATTTATGGGCTAAATGCTGATGGTATTAACATGTTGCATTTGCATCATCCATGTTGCGCATCTGGCGATACAAAGATCCCAGGTAAGCCACCCCAAATCGACACAGACTGTGACCGCAAGCAACGCGGCGCCTCGGTGTTACCAGCTATGGTTGATCTGGTTGTGGGTTTTCAATTTGTTGAACCAGTTGGGATGAATATTTTTGGGACTCAAAGGTCACATGGGGGTAAATCTAAATCTGGGAATGGCATATTGGACTATATTGGCTGAACGTGATTTGTTTTTTTGTATGACCTCAGTTTCGGCACATTGCGATTCAACAATTTGCGGGTGCATTTGTTTGCATTATTTATAATAATAGATTATAATAATGATACCCAAATTTGATCCACGGCCGTAAGGCATCAAACTTTGTCATTCAGCAAACAGGGTTTCAGACCACTGATATATTTTTTTTATATGTTTTTATCGCTTGCAAATCAGCCAACCTATCCAAACCTTTTGTCTCTCTAACTACTCTAAAGAACAGTACTACTTATATAGGTTGCTTCTGTTTTTCTTGGAGGTTTGAAAGGGGCCAAAACCAAATAGATCCCATTTGATCAACGACATCATCTCTGGCATATGGATGCATATGGCAGATCCATGCGCTGCCATCCCAGTAGGCTCAAGCCAAGTTTCGGTGTCAGAAAACCCCGTTTTCGTCATGGCGGAAGGTCGAGTATACAATTTCTCAGCAGGCCCCAGTGCCATGCCACTGGAGGTTCCGGGGTTTCCCATGGACTGATATGGACTCCATGGACTTTGACTGATTTCACGGTTTCAAGCTACCAACCAGCTATAGTTGGGTATGGGTCAATACCTATAGATACATTTTTAGTGGGATGAACATCCATTTACCAGCTATTTTGGGGTTCACTAGGTACCAGGGTTTTGACCCATCCCCAGTTATACATGAATATACTTTGATATACTGTGACCATGTATGATCTATCGACAATAGTAATAGGAAACTGTAACCATCAAACTGGGATATTGCAGTCACATGGTCCAGAGTCCAGATCTTCTTTTCCTGCTTCAGTTTGTAGGGGAAAACGTAATATCTGTGCTGGCTAGCTAAGATTACCCACAGGACGAGGGGCTGTCCCGAAGGAACAACCCCTCGTCCTACGAGGGTATGGCCCTCCGGGCCATACCCGAGAGCGGAGCTAGCAACCCATTGATTCCATCATTCCAGTGCCAGGGTATTTCCTTGTCATAACATTTCCTTGTCATAATCTCCCGGCCCCATGGAACATATACGCATACCTCTATTAGGGGCTTCATATAGGGTATAACATAAGTTATAAAATCCCCCGGCCCCATGGAACATATACGCATACTTCTATTAGGTGTTTCATTTAGGGTTTACATAAGTTATAAAATCCGGACTCGCCAAAAAAGTCGAAAAGATTGAAAAAGTGGAAATGGCCGAAACGCGTGAAGTCCGCAGAGGGTTCACTTTTCTGACTGATTTTTCCAAAAATTCGTCTTAGACCACGCTAACTCACAGATGTACCAGAGTCATAAAACACTGCACCTGCGCAGAGAAATGAGCCTCCCACTGACGTTCATACGACCATTCCGGGACAACCCTCAGTCCTGCCCGTAAGATTAGCTAGAACATTGACGCAACCTGTGGAGAAATTCGTACCCATCATGAACTCAGAAATTGCATTGGTATTTCCCGAGGCCTGAAATGATGATCCATATGGATTCATATGGAAATTCCGCCATCGGATGCAGGAAAAACCCCTGCATAGCTGATGCATCAGCGATGTTTTCCTGGACCTGAAACCCAGCCGTCATGGACAAACTGCTGGTTCTTCATGGAATTATCATGGGATATCAACCACCATTTTTCAATATCTTCCATGATCTTCATGGGATTTCAAGATATGAAGTGTGAAAAAAATCCAGCATTTTTCATGATGGCAGTTCAAAAAAATGGTTCCCCTGAGGTGCTTGAAGAGGTGCAGCGTGAAATGGTGAACTACAAGGGCTGCGGCATGAGCGTCATGGAGATGTCGCATCGCTCCAAGGAGTTCATGGCCATCGCTGCAGAGGCTGAGAAGAACCTGCGGGACATCTTTGGGGTGCCCAGTACCGAGGCTTCAGCTGGTATACCCTCTGGTTATGTCAACATGGCTATTGAAAATGGCCATTTATAGTGGATTTTCCCATTAAAAATGGAGATTTTCCATAGTTTTTTGTATGTTTACCAGAGGGTAATTGATGTGGAAACAATAATAAACCACCCATTTGGGAATGGTAAACATACCACCTTTTAAAATGGTGATTTGCGGGATGCTTTATTATATATTATTGTTTTACCCACATTAGATCTAATAATTCTAATAACTGTAGTTAGAGCTATAATATTATGGTTAGGAACTTGTTTTTTTTGTTTTTCCGGTGGTATAGGTAGAATAATTATGGATATTATGGCTCTGATATGGCTGTCATGTGGCTAGAATAAATGTGGTTTTAATGTAACTAATTTGATGGCTATAATATGCTATAATCATCACCCCAAAGTTGGAATGTAATTGATATTTATGATTAAACCAACAAAACATGGAGAGTTATGCAAAAACATATGTATCTGTATACATAAGTTTCACCAATATTGATTGAGATGAAACTAGCAAGAATTGGATATCGGGAATATGATGGGGTGTACAACCAACACAATCAATTATATATAATCATTCCTGCTACTACAGAACGTCTCCCCTCCTCTAATAAACACCTGGAGTAGTTTCATTTTTGGGGGTATAGCTAGTATTAGGGTGAGAAGCTTCCCCTTAATAATGAAACAAAACCCCTAAACAAATAGAAACAACACAAAAATTGTCATAAATTGTCAATTTCGAAATTGATACAATCCCTTATTTATTTCGAAGCTTTGCCCTTTGAGATGGTTGACCCAGGGGCAATCCCATCTAACTTCACCATGGCACATATGTTTAAAACTGTGTTTTTTTTGGTTCCTAAGGCGACTACAAGGTCCTGATGATGCAGGGCGGGGCGACCCTGCAGTTCTCCTCCATCCCGCTGAATATGCTCGGCTCGAAAGGCAAGGCGGACTACCTGGTCACAGGGCAGTGGGGTGAGAAGGCACACAAGGACCGGGGCCGCGTGCTGGGCGCTTTAGCATGGCCACGGACTTAGAGGTTTGGAGGATGAGGTGGGAATATATGTTTAATTGGCCACTTTAGAGCCATGAAATGTTGGAGTACCCGATTTTCAGACAACTCAGATCGGCATGATGATCGGATAGAAATTATTGGTTTACAAAAAATAACCCAAGATAACAAAAAAAATGTGTGGTCCGTAAGAAAGATATGACCCATACTGCTTGTCTCCTTTGAGCTGGTGTACTGAACTCGCCAAAGGCGATGGTCTGAGACATGAACAAGATCCATGGCATGGTTAGGTTCATAAAGGGTCCAATAAATTTGATCCTATAGCCTTGTGAGTGATTCTGACCCAGGGGCAATATCCCAGGCCCCCTCAATGGTAGTTGCATAGGCTTCAGCTCATCACCCCAAAATAGATGGTTTACTCTGGATGTTCACATGGTATCATATGGTGATTTAATAATATATATATATGTATTATTTAACATTATATTATATGTATAATATATTCTTATATATGTATGTAGTTATCTGGATGTATGTGCTATTCCATAGCTTTGACCCACACAGAAAGTTTTCTTTTGTGCTAGGCCGGGATACATCGATCGACTGTCGAATCTCCAGGAATGCAACAAATATGGCACCGGACAGTTGGCCTGCAACACCAAACCCACAAAGTTCACCACCATCCCTCAGAAAGCGGAGTGGAGTCCTGGTGCTTGTGCTGGTGCTTGTGCTGGTTGACTGTAACCCATATCCATGTGATATGTACCAATATTTGCCCTAAAAATAAATCACCCAGTTTTGTAGGTATATATACCATACATGGAGCATATGGGTACTGTAATGATGATCATGATGCTATTGTAATTAAGATGAACTGCTGGTTTCCATTGACTGGTTTATGGGATCAATTAATCCACACTAATTAAATAATCAATCCATACTATTTCGTACTAATCCATCTAAACCATAGTAATCCTATTTAGTATGCTGATCTTAGCTTGACTGCTTGACTCATATGTTTTTTCAGCTTGAAACCACCACTAGACCGTCGAAGCGAATGGATCCATGATTTTTCACGTGGGGTATGTCCCCATGTTCCAACGAGAAAAGGTGTGGGATGGGACATCATAGGACACTTATGAAGCAGTTGTTGACTTCAAGGATCAGGAAAAAAAATGGAGATACCAAAATCAAGTATTTCGTGATCAGCTTCCATTTTGAACATGGCGTCCCTGAATTTTGATACAAATCTAATACAGTCAACTTCAACCCTACGTTCATAAGTTCAACCGCTGGTTATGATTGAGAGTACCACGTTACCTGGAACCCGCCTGCAATTTGAGTGCGGAATTTCTGGGTTCCGGATTTCGGATTTTGAGACAACTCCGTACACAATGTAGGAAGCCCATGTAATTCGAGATAATGTTAGATGGATCACATCCTACCTCTACATACCAACCATATGTTGATTTCCGAATATATCCACCAGTGAACATGTCGAAATACATTCTTAGTGGTTGAGGGAGTAGAGGGGACTTTACATGACTTTACTATCATCATTCTCTCAACTGACATGTGAAACCCCTGTCAGCAGTTCCAAGGAAGTTGGATCCAGAAGCAGCCTATGTGCACTACTGCGCTAATGAGACGGTGAACGGAGTGGAGTTTAGCTACACACCGGATGTGGGCAGTGTCCCCTTGGTGGCTGATATGTCATCGAATTTTTGTTCCAAACCCATTGAGGTCAGCAAACATGCCTTCATCTATGCCGGCATTCAAAAGAACTTGGGCCCTGCTGGCATGTCCGTGGGATTTGTGAGGCCGGACTTTGCGGACGGCAGCAAGGAGATGAAGATTTGCCCCACCTATTGTAGCTGGAAGACCACCGGAGACAATGGATCCATGTACAACACCCCCGCCTGCTTCACCATGTACGTCATGGGCGAGTACCTGAAGTACACCAAGAAGTTGGGTGGTGTCGCCTATTGGGCCGAGCAGTCGGACAAAAAGAGCGGTTTGTTGTATGGCGCCATTGATGGGTCCAATGGCTTCTACAACTGCCCCGTAGAGAAATCCGCCAGATCGCGCATGAATCTTGGGGTTGAAAACGTTTTTGGCAACCCTTGTGCTCCCCTTTTCAGAGATATCAAGCACACTATATAGGATCCATAGGATTCTCATGATATCATAATATGATATTATCATATGAGCTTTTAGAATCTTGCGAAAAAAATAGGTTGTTTGCCATAGTGGCTTCCGTCCCAACATCCCCAGTTTCTGAGGAACGTGCCCTTCACCATCAACGGCGGTGACGAGGCATTGGAGAAGAAGTTCCTGGACGAGGCCAAGAAACACAAGCTCTACACCTTGGCAGGGCACCGTTCCGTTGGGGGCTGCCGGGCCTCGTTGTACAACGGGTTGCCCTTGGAGGGCGTCGCCAAGCTCACGGATTTTATGAAGTCCTTCATGGATGAGAACCGAAAGTGAGGATGATGCAACATGTGACCCTAGATGTGTAGCAAGATTCCATTTGACACTCTCGGATTTTAGGCATTTTAGGCCGCTGGGTGGATGGAAAGTGGTGTTGTCACTGAGTGATCTGGAGGATTGCTCAGGCTTCTTTTGCCAGACCAACCTCAGATTTCTTGGGGTTGGCTCTGCGGTTTCGCAACACTTTTTGAGTGGATGACAAGCTTTGTGCCCAGTATGGAAGCCAATCGACGAAAAAACAAACACCTCCTGCATGAGAATGAACTGTGGGGATTGTGGGGGACTCGAATATTTGGACACCTTGGCTGGTTGGTGGTTTGGAACATTTCTTATCTTTCCATATATTGGAAATGTCATCATCCCAACTGACTTTCACTCCATCATTTTTCAGAGTTGACGGTCAACCACCAACCAGATTATGATTAACCATCATTAACCATCATCATAACCATATATATATAATTATAATATATATATAATCATATATACATATATATATATATTAAATTATATTAACCATTATTAACCATTAATATTCACAGTATATTAACCACAATGGTAGGTAGGTCCAGTTAGGGCTCAACCACCAAGCACTTGGACACGCCCGACCGCCGAAGAATGGGCCCGCATCCCTGAGGTGCCTTCGCCGCCGATCCATCCCCTTGGTCCAACACGCGGGGTTGCCGAAGGGCCGAAGTGGAGCGGTTCCCCGAAGAAGAAAAGTAACACACTACTTTTGAACTAATATGTATATATATATATGTATATATATTACCATCTGGTTGTATATATATATAATTGTTACATTGATTGTTACATACAGAACATGATGGCAAATGTAAACAAATGTAAGATGTACCTCTTTCCAAAGATTTCCATATTGTCCAAATAATATGAACATGTTGAGTACCATTTGGTTATTTAACAGTTCGCCATGGAAACTCAGCATGCTATGAATAGGTAAACCATCTATTTCTATGGGCCATCTATACCATGGCTATGTTAAATAACCAGAGGGTAATATATATATATATATGTATAGTAAATTTAGTATACAACATATAGAACATGTTTGATCTATTCCGTCATTTTGGGGTGCCGATAACCATCCATTTTTTTGGATACCCGATTTCGACTCAATTTCCATGTGAAAGTACCAAACAGCTATGCACCAATTAAGGGTGGACCAACCAAAATGATGACCAGTCAGCAACTCTTTGTCTCGATCATTGTATATTGCTTCACCAGTTGTAAATGGGATGATGGCAGGAATTATTTAGATTCATGCCCTAGTCAGAAGGTTTCAGGCTGTTTCAGGCATATGTTTCACTTTCTGTTCTAAATCGATCGGAACGGAGAAGGTACATGCCATTTCCATTTCAGGGGAAACCAGCATTCAGCGCAGTAGACATCACCCCTTCTGTTCATCGACTCACCAAATGCTCATAGCATCATCCATTTCAGATCCATCATTACCATATCACTGCAAACAACATATAATATGATTCTATGATCGATTTGCAATTGTGACGTTAGCACTTTCAATACCAAATACTTGATGTCAAGTGTTGCAACGTGTGATTCTAAGAGTTGCATTAGACCCTATATGATTCTGCGATAGATATGACACTACAACATGCAATTGTGACATTAGCCCGTTCAAAGTCTGGAATGTTGTAGTATACATTAGTATACATATTTTGGTGCCATTTGCCTGGATCCGATGCTGTGCCCTTGGCGAACTGGGCCCCTGACTTCGTGACGAAGTGACGATGAATCAGGCACGCGACCAGAAAACAGTGGCCACAACTCTGGGGATGGAGATGGGTACGGAAAACATGGATTTACAACAGGTATCTTAGAGTTCCCTGTGTTCCATATGATAAATGATATGTAATGATATTCATGCAAAATTTGTATGTGTATGTATGTATATATATATATAATTATATTTATATTATATGCATTCCACAACAGTGATTCTTGTTTGGATCAAACAGGCAAGTTTGCCCGCAAAAGCAGCTCGCAAGATGAAAAAGCGACAGCTACTGTGAGGCGATTTGGGTGCCAGTGGCTGTCGTTGCTGCCATTTCTTTGGCGGTGCTGTTCTTTTTCAGCTTTGACACTTTGGAGTACCAGGCAAGGTCTAATGACTGGAGGGATGGCGGTTGTGTCCTGAGGCGTCTGGTGTCAGGATTTCTTGTGGTGATGCATTGATTTATCAATGATCGGTTGACAATGGTCAATTCAGTAGGATTAAAGATGTCAGGCTGCTGCGAGCCTTTTGTTTTCTTTTAACCATTTCGTCATGGAACATGTGCGCAAAGCGAGATTGATATTTGCACAGTGTCCTAAAATCAGAGAAACCTCAGTTACAACGCAGATACACTCCAAGAATCCATGGCTCTTTGTCCGTGCCATTTCTTGGGGCAACATCAAAGCTGCCCATTTCATCGGTGGTTAATTGGTTTTAAGGGTTTACACTGCATAGGGTCACCGGGATCCGGAACTAATTGATTATATGTGTGGTTCTCAAAATTGGGGGTAACTTATATTCCCATTGGTTTCTTAAAAGTATCAATAACTTTGTAATGATTCAGGGGTCCCTCATCTCAGGGAACTGTCATCCACTGTGGGAATGCTGTTCTCAACCGGACGGTTTGCTGAGGAATATGGCTTGAATTTCAGCAGGTGACTTTGCAGCACTCAGTTTGCTCACTTTGCATGGATGTCATTGGATATTTTGAGTGACAAACATACATAAAACATGTTGAATGACCCTGTACACTTGTGTGTAAACGTCATCAATACTATACTTGCTGCAATGCATATATGTTTAGATACTTTTATATATATACATACATATATACATATAATTCAATATTAAAGACATTAATTACACTATGAGAGTGTATGTGTTGTGAATATCAAATATATATATATATATTATACATATAGATACATATATTATGCGCATATATATATTTTTATATTGTGTATAAGATATGTACATATATATTATGTATATATATAGTTATATATTTATTTTATTATGTCAATGTATATATTTACACATACACATGCATATTATGTTTTATGCATAGTATGCATATATATATATATATACAATATACATACCTGGCAGCACGATGGTGACAGCTTGCCCTTTTCCGAATTTCCTAGGATCAGCGAGACAGTTGAGAGAAAGCCGTACACCAGCGGCAGATATTACCTGGGCATTGCCAATCATTTTATTCGATTTCCACGTATGGACGCTCGGCCGTTCTATTGATGTGGTTTCAGGGAAGTTTTCTGGTTGAAATCTCATGCCAGCATCGGTTTCCACAAGAGTTTCACTCCTCTTGCCCAGTCACTCCTGTTCCCTCGGAAGTTGGTTGTTGTCTCTCAACCAACCAGTACACGCTTGTCACAGAAGCAGTTTTCCACAGCGGTCAGGGGACCACACCACCCGTAGGTTCTTTGGAACCATAAACCCCCAAGCAGTGGATTACCGGTTGATTTCGCATTCATTTTGATTGTTCACCGTGATTTATTGGTGCATGTCCATTTTGCATAAGGCAACAGAATATCGATATCACAGTCTTTCCCCAACGGATTTGTGTCGTTGGATACCCTCTCAGTTGTTGATTTATCCCTTCTCAAAGCTGGATGGCAACGGGGATCTCATGGAGGGACGAGCACCTTTAAAATGACACACCTTGATGCTCAACAAGAACCCAACAGTCAACTTCATGGTTCTTGTGTTTGTTCTTGTATTCGTTTGTTTGTTTGTTTGTTTGGTTGGTTGGTTGTTCATTTGTTCATGTGTTTGTTTGTTTGTTTGTTTGTCTGTCTGTCTGTCTGGGTGTCTGTCTGTCTGTCTGTCTGTTTGTTTGTTTGTTTGTTTTCATGTTTTGAGTTTCGCTTGAATTGTTGTGTCAGTGGTTTTATGTGGTTTGTTTTTTCTGACCCCTCATTGCCCCTCCTCTTCCAGCACCCAGTTTCCGAGGTTTCCTGAAATAGGGGTACCCCCAGTTCTCATCCATTTTAGATTGGGATTTTCCATGAAATACACTATCCAGCATTTTTGGGGTACCCCCATGACTATGGAGACCCCTAGGTGAATTCCGTCCTCTTCTCCGACGAAGACGCTGGCGCCAAGCAGGGTCCGGCTCTACAGAGCCGCACCAGGGACGGGCTCAACGTGCGCTTGGAGGTGACCCGGGCAGGGTACCGAAGCACCGGGGCCTGCCGTGGGCTTCGTTAGGGGAAACCATTGGGAAATGGGGAGATCATCCATCCTTTTATGGAGATATCAACCAAGGGAGAAGTTCATGATATCAACTAACTAATTATCATATTAACATCAATTGATATATTTTCAAAAATGGGATAACATGGGGATCACTGGGATAATGAGATAATCCATCAGCCATTTGAGAAATAGGCCATTGTTTGTTCAGATCATCGTATAATGGAGAAATATCAATGGGAATGGGAAACCCATGGCAATTGAAAATCCTCAATGTTGAAATGCGATTTTCTTGGGAAAATCATCTATAAATGGTGGATTTTCCAGTAACATCACAATCATTAAAGAGCCCTGGGCTCTTAAGAGGGCTACTCCTAAAAGTTGCTATCCTTTCAAAGATGAACTTGTCAGCACGCATAAGTTTACAGTTCTTATTTTTGTATTTTGTCCAGTGTCGCTTGCTTGCTTGCCTGTCGTTTCGTCCTTCCCACATTTACCAGGTGTCGTTTCAATACCGCTTGAAGTTCGAGAAGGTCTATGATTTGTATTCAACCCTTGGAAAAGACTATGAACCGCCACTGGACGTAGCAATCGGGACAACGGGTCACGCATATTTGCCCTGCAAAAGAGGAATGTGTTATGGATTGAAACCTGCTCTTTGAACATCGTGAATATACGAGTTGTCAGTTGTCCAAAAATAGTGAAATCGAATGGGGAACAAAATGTTCTCAACCGGGGTAACCGTATACCCTATTTCTTGAGGCAAACCGGCTTGGTGAACTCCCTCTTTGCATGTTTGTGCATACCAAGAGTTGGTACACCGAAACCACG